TTTTTCCTCTCCACTGTCACTACAAGCATGCTTAGTGTCAGGGATTGCCTTCGAGTCAATGAGTCGATGCAATCAACTAGTTTTATCAACTGGTGAATTGGCGCTATAGAAATAAACTGAACCGAATTGAAAAAATGTTAAGAATGTTAAGAACGAAAAAAATGCTGGCCCCCTCTTGGCCCCCTGGTACGTTTGGTCTACAACCGCCACTGATACTCGCTGTTAAGCTTTGCTTTGATCACCAGTTTAATTGAAATAGAATGGAACGGAAAGTATGTGCTCGAAACATTTAGTCACTCCTGAACCATCTTTACGAAGAGATATCACTCCGGCCGCATCACTGACGTTCGGTGTGAAAGCACCATAAGATAACTGCGCAGTAATTCAGAGATCTGCGGTTCACTCTGAAATAGAAAACAGTTTTCATTCCAAACAAATGTGATATAAAGTTTTCATACTTGACTTTCTGTTTGCGTGCTACGTCTGGATCAGTGGCTGTGAGCTGCACCACGGTGCTTTCCACAGGAAGGTCCTCCCTTTTGGACACATGGGTCTCTTTTGTTTCAAATATCGGAGGTTCATTGATGTCTCTCACAGTCACCTCCACTGTGGCAGTGGAAGTGGTCAATGCAGTAGCAAAAGGAACCTCATTCTGCACCGCAACCAGCAGGGTATGCTTACTGGTCTTCTCAAAGTCCAGACCCTGTTAATGGAAGAATGAAAGGTCAAACATTAATGGCCGACATCTATCCATATCACTGGAATCACGATCTAGAAATAAGTAAACTTTTCTTAAATTAAGTGTATTTACCCTTCATTTGAGTAGGTAAATTAGGTAGTTTATGTGTAAATTGTCTTGTTTCACTTGCAAAATGTATATTTTACTTCCTCAATCCAAGAACAAATGCACTTATTTTAAGAAAAAATGACTTTTTTTTCAAGTGTAGTATGAATAGTACACATTGTAATATAATCCCAGAACAAACAGATGATCATATACTGCTTCTCCTACCTTTGCAGTAGTAATGATTCCCTCTAGTTTGTTACTTCCTGTTTTCACACTGAAGAGATTTCCAGGATCTCCACCGACGATTGTGAACTTTGCATTCGAGTTAGGAGAATGTTCCTCATCCTTGTCTGTCACGGACATCCGAACAAGTTCAGCATCTACTTCATTCTCCCCTGCTGTTGCTTTGTACTGAGGAAATGCATTGGTGGTGTTAGGGTTTGTCATAGGATCAATTAAAATGCAGAAATCTAACTGGCCTTACATTGTTTAGTCTATAATGAGCTTATTATCATCACTTTTTACTGGAGCTTATATTTTAGGAGGGAGTATTGATGAGGCAAAAAAACAGGATGACAAGGCAGCGACTAAAATTTTCCCCTTTCTACTCAAAGAAGAATGAGCTGTACTTACAGACGGATTAGTAAAGATTGGCGCGTGATCGTTGCTGTCTGTGACCTTAATAATCACTCTTGTTTCTCCTAATAAACCTTCACCTTTCTGGTCTGCCACTTGCACTTTCAGTGTGTAACTATCGATTTCCTGTGGAGAGAAACAGAAATAATAAAAAGGTAGCAAAAATAAAATATCTGTCCCAATGTTATAGACCTGAGTACATTAAATAATTATAATCAAATAAAAATGATAATCAAATAATCTCTGGAGAGTCTTTCCAAGGCTATCATCAAATGCAGAGATAATACAACTGTGCCCGCCGACAGCGGGGGGGACAACTGGGCAAGATGTCCCAGGCCCAGGGTAGAACACTGGATAAAAAACTATCTAGATGTAAGTAAACATTTCTTAAATTAAGTGTATTTAGCTTTAATTTGAGTAGGTAAATGAGATAGTTTGC